CTGCCGGTCCCGTTCTGCTGATGCACCCTCCCGCCAGAGCGCCCTGGCCCGAAACACTGGCGTGCTTGCAGTACAGTAGCAAGAATTGCCACACCCTGCGCCCTTTACCCTTTCAATCTGGACACCCATCCACCTACCCGCCCACCCACCCCCACCACACGTACACACGCACGCACGCACGCACGCGCGCGCACACACACACACACACACACACACGGTCTCCCACCTCCCGCCTCGTGCAACGCGTGCAGGTCCCCAAGGCGCCCGGCATGGTCATCTTCTCCCCTGACGGCCGCTACGCCTACGTCAGCTCCTCGGGCAACTTCACGGGCGGCTCCCCTACCCCCGACGCCGTCGTCATCGACGCTGTGTCACGCGCGATCGTGGGGCGCATCCCTCAGGCGTCGCCGTTCAGCCCCAACATCGCCGCGACGCCAGACGGCAAGCAGGTGCGCGGGCGCAGGCCGGGAGGCACGGGCAGGGGCGGCGCGGCGTGATGCGGGGACGGACCAAGGAGAATGCGGGTCGGCTCCGCGGCAGCGGACATGGTGCAGAGCCTTCAGGACAGGAATGCCCTGCTGGCTGGGCAGCCTTGCTGGCGGCCAACTGCGATCATCCAGCAGTCTCGGGCCCCACGTGCAACCCGTCCCTTACCGCGCCCCTGCCAGCAGCCAGCCGACCCCCAACCCCCCACCGCGCCAGCGTGTGCGTTGCTGACTGGTCCCCACTCACTGCTCGCGCCGTCACCCCCAGGTGTGGTTCACCCTCAAAGACTCTGGCAGGGTGCAGGTGATCAGCGCCACGCCGCCCTTCAAGACCATCGCCGTCCTGGCCACCGGCCCCATCACCAACCACGTCAACTTTGCCGTCACCGGCGACGGCCGCCAGCTGGCCTACATCTCCGTCGCCGGCGCCGCCGCGGTGCAGGTCTGGACGACGGACAGCAGGCCCGCGCGCGTCGCCACTGTCGAGGAGGTCGGCTTCAACCCCCACGGCGTGTGGCCGTCGGGGGACGGCCGCCGCGTCTACGTGGCGCTGCAGGGCGGCAACGCGATCGCCGTCATCGACACGTCCACCAACACGCTGGCCGCCACCATCCCCGCCGGCGGCCAGGGCCCCATGGCGCTCGCCTATGTCCCCAACGCGATCCCCGCGGGCGCGCCGCCGGCCGTCAACCTGAGCGCGCCGGGCGTCGCGTCGGGCAACAACTCCCTGTACCTGGTGCTGGCGCCGCCGGGCGCAAAGAAGGGTGACCCCCTGGTGACGCGGGTGACCCTCAACCGCCAGGGCTTCATTGACCAGCTGGAGGCGACGGTCGCCGGCATTAAGACCGGCGGCACCTACGTGCTCGCGCTCTCGCCCGACCGCGCGGGCACGGCGGGGGAGCTGCAGCCCATTGCGCAGTTCAGCGGCAATGCGGACGGCGCGGCCAACCCCGCGACTGTTGGGACGTTCAGGTTTGCCCTTGGGGCCGGCGGTGCGAGCGCTGGGGCCGCGGCGGGGCGGCGGTACCTGGTGGTGGCTGAGTTTGCTGGCGGGCAGGTGGGGCGCGTACTGCAGGTGCAGCAGGAGTGACTGGTGCCAGAGGCAGAGCAGAGCCAACAAGACGTGGTGGTGTCGGGCGTTCCTGATCGAGTGCAATTTTTTCGTGCTGCTGCTGCAGCAAGAACGAAGTGCTGCAGCAGCAGCAGCAGCAAGAACAAAGTGCTGCTGCCGCTGCTGCTGCAAGCACCCCAGCCGACTACAAAGGAGCCTGGCTTGCTGAGCTTTCTGTAATGCCGGCTGCATGCAGAATTTTGATCCATGAGCATGCCAACGACAGGCGGCCAAATTGTGTTGCAAACTTGCTGTCTTCTCAAACGCAGCATTGAGGCCCTCCCACGAATTGTGTGCGCTGGTTCACTGCAACGCAATGCAGCGCCAATCGACCATTACATCGATTCTCCTGCACTGGCGATTGCCGCCTTGAAAGCCTCCCTGTAATGACATCCTGTTTCAGGCTACATGCATGGGTTGGCCTGGGTTCTTGTGAGGTGCACGCACCAGGGAAAGTGATCAGCGTGTGCGCATGTTGTGAGGCACGTACTAGATAGAAGTTGCTCGCAGCTTGGGAGTAGGGCGCCACTACACATGCTGCAGGTAAGGGAACGCTGCAAGCACGCGTTTCAGGAGGGGATGCCTGGGAGTGTAGACGGCAGATGAGTTTCAGGCTTTCATTTGAGATGAATATCGCCCCAAAGCACTGATGTTTCCAGGCGCTGCACTTCAACATTTTGCTGGATTAAGCAGGACGCGCGTAGCTGCACTTCTTGCCAGCAGCAGGCCTCTTCGCTAGCCCCCTACCAGGTACCCAACCCCTAGCAGCAGCAGCAGCAGCAGCAGCAGCAGCAGCAGCAGCAGCAGCAGCAGCAGCAGCAGCAGCAGCAGCAGCAGCAGCAGCGACAATATGGTGGGCAAGTCCGCTGCAATCTGCCCTGCGCAAGCCGCATGATGCTGCTTTCAGTGCCCTCAGAAGCTGAAGCTGGTTCAAAGCTGGCCGCCAGCATGCAGCTCGAGCTGCCAGATGGCACAGTATCAGACAGTGGATCACACGCGCACACGCATTGGAGGCCGTTTCGTGCGCTCCTGGGTTGCTCCTGATTTGAGCAGTCTGTGAAATTCTGGACGCTCCATCGCAGCCGCACAATCGGTCTTGGCTGTTCATCACAAACACACAACTGGAGCGACATGGTTACAGATGGGGGGGTGGGCGTGCCGATGCAAGCACCCAAGGGCTTGATCTTGCCTTGGAGTACTGGAGTGCCCACCCTCAGGCAGGAGTGTGAAGCGCGCTGGTGCACGCGCGGCGCGCCACAAGAATTGTGCGGCAGCCTGCGCGCCGGCCCAGCGCGCGCGCTCTCATATATACGTGGGGTAGGGGGCGTGAACACTCGGCAGCCAGGGCGGCAGCATCAATGGGGTCGGGGCACCTCTACACTCCTACACTCGCACACAACAGCGGACAGCAGAGCGGCGGCCGGAGGCCGCCTGACTCGGGGCCAAAGGGCAGGCATACACATCATGATGCGGCCGGAAAAAAGGTTTTTCCACGAGACAGCAACACCGGATCAGGCTAGGGGGCAGGCCAGAGGGGGCAGGCCAGAGGCGGGATCTCGATCAGATCACGCCGCGACCTCAGTGCCAACAGCGTCCCGGAGGGCGCCGCCCATTGCGCTGTTCGAGAAGGACTGCTGCCGCGCCAGCGCTGAGAGGCCCTCGGGCGACCCCATCAGCGCGGGCGCGCTGGTCAGGCGACCCTCCACCTCGGCCTCAAAAGAGCCGGGGCCAGAGGCCGCCGCCTCGCCCTCATAGTCCGAGGCCGACGCCGCCGCCCGCACCTGCCGCTGCTGCTGCTCCTCCGGCTCCTGCCCCTGCTGCTGCTGCCCCTCCGCCGGCTGCTCCGCCCGCTGCTGCTGCACGAACGCCTCAAAGGCGCCGCTGCCATCCAGCGCCTGCTCGGCGCCGCCCGCCGCCACCGCCGCCACTGCCGGCGCGAGCGCCGCCTCGGCCGGCTGCTGCGCTGCCGCCGGGCGCTTGACCACGCGCCGCTTCACCTTGCGCACGCGCGTCCGCCGCTGCGCGTGGCTGGCCGCGGCCTCGGTCGGCAGGCCCTGCCACCACGGCCGCGAGAGCTCCCCCACAGCCGCGCCGCCGACGCGGGCGATGGTGGTGAGCGCGACGTAGCTCCACAGCGCGCTGGCGTGGCCAAACAGGTATCGGTCCAGTCCGCCCAGCAGCTGGTACCTCACGTTGGCGTTGAGCGCAAAGAACGCGCCCAGGCCCCCGCTCGAGCGCGCTGCGCTGGGCACCGGCACCGACGGCTCGAAGGAAGGGTCCGCGCGCCTGCGCGCCGCGACCGCGAGCGATGCGGCGCCGGACGTCGCGGCGCCGGCGGCGGCGCCGACGGCCGAGAGCTGCGCCATGGACGCGAAGAAGCCGCCGATGCGCGCGGCGGGCGTGTAGGCGCGCAGCGGGCCGCTGGCGTCAAACACGCAGTGCGGCAGCTCCGCGAGCATCTTCTGCCAGGGGAACTTGTGCACGGCGCCCATCGCGCGGCTGGGGGCGGTGACCCACACGGTCGCGCCGACGGCGGCGGCGAAGCCCATGCTGTTGATGACCGCGAGGTCGAGCTCGTTCTTGAAGGCCTCGCCGCGCGTGCGCCACTCGTGCAGCATCGACACGGTGAAAGCCAGCGACTGCTCGATGGCCAGCTTCTGCACAAACGCGGGGTCGGCCATCAGGCGGCCCACAAACTCGCGCGCCCACTGCGGTCCAGGAGGGTGAGTGGGGAGGTGTGCGCGGGGTGGTTAGGGGTGCGAGTGCGAGAGAGCGGCGGAGACGCGAGCTGGTTGGTGCGGCAAGTGCCACGCACGCTGGCGGTTGCAGGCAGCAACGCGCTGTTTGCAGGCACCAACGCGAGGGTCTCAAAGACCGCACAAGGTGCGCACAGATCGCCGACCCCAAAGGTACATCCGACACCCTCCGGCCAACCCCTGATGCGAACGCCAAGCCGCGCGGACGCCCTTCCACCCTCCCTACAACATATAAGAGCAGCAGCACTCACCGACGTTGGCAGGCGCCGCGACACGGCGCGCGTCACGTTGGGGCGCACGTCCATGGAGAGGAAGCGCACCAGCTGCGCGCTGCTGAACAGTCCCATCTCCACGCTGCGGCGGATGAAGAGCGGCAGGTCTGCGACGGTCTTGAACCACTCCTGCAGCACCGCGGCCAGGGCGGCGCGGTCAAACAGCTCGGGGATGCGCAGCCGGAAGAACCCCGCGCCGGCAGGGCCGCCCTCGCCGTCGCCGTCGCCGTCGCCCTCCTCCCCAAAGAAGTCGTCGTCGTCGTCGCCGCCGCCGTCCCCGCCGCCGCCGCCGTTGTGGTTGTTCTTGCCGATGCCGCCGCCGTCGCCGCCGTCGTCGAGCTTGAGGGCCTTCTCTGGGGGCGTCGGCATGATGATGTTCACGCGGTTGCGCTCCAGCACAGTGCCCAGCATGCTGCCGCTACCCACGTTCTCGTCACCAAACGCGCTGCCACCGCGGTTCAGGACAGTGTCAGGGACGGACATGAAGGGGCCCAGAGCGCCGTGGCCGCCGCCGCCGCTGCCGGTCGCCTCCTGCCGGTGATGCGTGCGTTCCGGAGGGCGGGGGCCAGAGGGCGGCGGGCAGTCAGGGAACGGTGCGCACTGGAGATGCATGCATGTACACGCAAAAAACCATGTGACTGTGGATCAAGAGGGCCGCTGGTCGCATGCATGTCACAGGCGCAACGGCGTGCTGCAGGCCGCGCACGACGTGCACCGCGCAAACGCGCATGCACGCTACCGCCCGTGCCGCTAAAGAGCGCCTCCAACGCCACCCAGGGCCTTGTAGGCCGCCAGGTCGTATATCTAGGCGCAAGCAATCCCCACAGCGGCACGGCCTGCCCCGCTTCATCGCCGGCAATGCGTGGATTCAGGAGGCACCGCGAGGAAATCTTGCCAGGGTGCGGCGCTCATTCAAGTCCCCTGGAGGGCCTCCAATACCGCCTATTGCTGTTCCTCACCTCGCCGCTGCGGGGGGCGAAGCCTGTGGAAGCCACCACCACGACGGGGCCCGTCCTGGGTCGGCCCACGAGCACACGCCGTGTGGCAGGCGAGATGCGCGCCTTCGCTGGCATGGGGGCGCAGCGCATGGTCACGGGCCCACAGCGGGCCGTGAGCTGGCGAGAGGCCTGCATCCTGACGTCGTCGAGGACCTTCTCGCTCGCAATGCCCTTTCTCTCTTGAGGGCTGTATATGCTGGCTTGAAATTGCACAGCGAAAAGGTGTCGATTGGAGCCCGTGTGTCCAGCCTACCAGGATCGAAGCCTGCGGTGCCTCCCTGCCTACCGTACCTGGATCACCGGGAGGCCTCCCCTGCCTCGGTTACCCTGGCGCGACAGTGATATGTGTCGTTGTGTCGGCGCTAAACTGAACGGGTGGCACAGCAATAGCACCTGCCTGGCACATTGAGGCGTTCAGCTAGGCTTTTTTAGTGCGGAGCTTGTGGTGAGCTGCAGTGCCTGCACCCGCGTGCACGGTTTGAGCTGCCTGATTGTCTGTGACAAGTGGGGGTTGCGTAGGTCTTTCACCGCTTTGATCTGAGGGCAGTGCTTGGCAGTGTGCTCTCTCGGCCCTGCCTGCCCCCCTCTCCACGCCCTGCGTGTGCCCTCCTGAGTGCGCTCAGTGTGCTGTTTGTCCTTGGACAGGTGCGGCACGCGGAGTCAGGAGGCGCAGCGCGGCGTCGCTGCAAGCGGGCGCAACAGCAGCAGCAGCAGCAGCATCAGCCACTAGCCAGGGGTCAGCGGCGCAACTGCCGCAGTACGCCGCGATGTACGCCGCTTTCCTGAAGCCGGCGTTCCAGCTGCCGCCCAAGTACGGGCTGTTCCTGGGCGCTTGGCTGTTCCTGTGCTCGCACAAGAACTCGCCGCTGCCCGGCACGCGCGAGATCGACCTAGAGGAGTGGGTCGCCACGCCCACAGAGTACACGGTGCGAGCGCGGGCGCGAGGGGGGGGGGGGGCGCTGCGGCTGTGGCTGCGGTCGCGGTCGCGGCTGCGGCTGTGTCCGCTGCTGCGGCTGTGCGTGTGCTGTATGCTCCTCGTCGGGCAGCGCGGCGCGCAGCAACCGGCTGGTGGTTGGGAGGGGGTGCACGAATTGGGGCATTGCTGGGGCCGTGCATAGGGGCACAGGTGGAGGATGAGGGCGCCGTGAGGCGTCAAGCGTGCGCACGGCAGCCGCGTCTGCTCTGGCGGCGCATCTGCATGGTCCATCCTCGGCTGGGCAAGCCAACGCGTTGGGGCACATCGCGCCGCCGTAGTCGTCGGTTTTGTACCTTCTGGACGCTGCGGTTGATGCAGCCGAGCCTGGCACTTGGCGGATGTTCCCTCTTCGAACTAGCACACGCAACCAGGCCACTGGCGGCGTCCGCACTGTGCTCCCAAGGCTGGCGACATGCTCTTGTGGCGCATTGCCACCACTGTCACCCCCGCTCCTGCTTGCGAGCCCGCCCCACGCTCACACGCACCTGAGACCCCTGTGCAAAACCTGCTACCCTCCCTCGGGACAGGTGCACCCAAGCAACCACCCCAAGCTGTTCAGCCGCGCCCCCGGCGACTCTAACGTGGTCAACGCCCGCGAGGAGCTCTACGCCAAGCACGGCCGCGTCGACGGGGCCCCCGCCCACGGCCATGGCCATCACTGAGCGCCATTGCTGCGGCGGACCGTCTCCAGGCACGTGGCGCCACATGTAGCGCGTCTTGCCCAGGAGAGCTGCATGGCAGTGGCACGGGCAGTTGTGGGGTGGTGGCGGCGCCAACAGCGGCTCGATCAGCTTGACGGTTTGAAGTTGCTGGTGCTGCCTGACCTGGCACAGGGGGCAGGGCAGCCAGTCATCCTTGCTTTCAGCTAGTCACCGGCTGAATGTTTCAGCACTCGCTTGAACATCGATTGTAACTGGAGCTGTGACCTCTCGAGGGGAATACCGCCAGCTTCTGTTAGGGTATAGGTTTGGCGCACTGCAGCTTGCACACCATACGAATCAGACAGGCCGTGATCCCTGCATATTGGTGTGTCCCCATGTCCCTGGCGAGAGAGGGGCGTCATGCGTCAGTCGATGCGCTACGTGCCATATCAATGCGCCACATGCCATATCTGTGACGCCCTTCGGTCCTTTTGATAAAGCACATTCATTATGTCCTGCTGGTTTGTGCTGGGAGCTTCCAGGCAACATCGAATTTCTTTGTGCGAGGCCCGCGGCCTCATTGTTTTGCCGCCTCATCAGGGTGGGCAGGCGGGGTGGTTGCGCACTCGAGTGGGCGAAGCTCTACATGCGGCAACAGCCTCTCGCTTTGCGCGGTGGCTTCTATGCCACAAGGACAGGTCGAGGATGTCTGGGTAGAGGCACAAGAGGCGCCAGCATAGCAGCAGCGCCTGGTGATACCTTTTTGGACGGTGCGGTCGGCAGGGCCACCACAAGCGCTGTAAGGATCTGGCGCGATATCTGCACGCTGATATCTGTGGTATATGAATCGTCAGATGCGCCTGCAAGGCCTGAAGGAACGTGGGAGGCCGGAAGGACAGCGACGGTGCGTAGGGGTGGCCTCGATGTGGCCACATTCCCAACGTAGGGCTCTCTGGTTCCATACATACAAAGCTACACACGGTTATTCATATCATTTTTCGCAGGTCGCGTGCAACTCGCATAGCCGCTGAAGGAGTAGTTGAGGGTCTCTTGCCCAAGCTCATCAGCTCACCCCAGCACTGCGGTCGTGGGGAGCCCGTTTTGGCCCCCTCGCTGGTCGCTCAGCGACGGAGGGCCTGCAATAGGCTGGTTGAGCCGCAGCATGATGTCGATGCGCTTCCTCGCCTGCGGCCTGCTGCTGTTGGCCTCCCCAGCTCTGGCCCAGTGGAAGTCTGGGTGAGTGAGATCGTGGAGCACTATCGATTGGGGACTCTGTATTCAAATGCACGACCCTCGGGCCGGCAGGGTGCGTGGGCTCACGCAAGTGAGTGCAGTCCACACCCACCCATGTCTGACGACCGTGATGCTGCGGTTAGCAACGGCCGACAACATCATGTCCTTGGCAGCATCGTGATGTTGGGCTCGCTGAGAGCTTGGTAGTGGGCGTGGGCCGCCGGAGATCGTCTAATGACGTTACCGCATCTCGTTTCCACCCCTCTGTGGACCGCCCGCGGTGTGTGGCTGGCCCCATATCGCTCGTACGTACGCAATACCTCTTACACACCCGGCCCTGGCCGGCGCCTCACCGATCAACCCTGTGTAACCCGTGGGGTGCAGTCACTGTGGGCAGCGCTGCGAGCGCAGCGGCGTGCGCCACACCCAAGCTGCGCAGTCACCACTGCCCCGCCTCTCAATGGCTCCGTCGCAGGCGTGCGACTTTCTACGGAACTGATGGCTGGAGCATCCATACGGGGTCCTGCCAGTATGGGCAGCTTGCAGAAGATGTTGGCACAGGCTGGGACGTAGCTGCGCTCGCAGACGTGGTGCGCATGGCGGGATCGCAGCGCTGGACCCTGGGCACTGCCCTCACGAAGCATATAGGGCTCCCCCAGAGGACCGCGCCTGTCCTGGCGAGGTCCTTTGGCACACCCTTGATGCCCCACACACGCGTGGTGTGGTATGTTTGGTCCTCCTGTCAGTGCGCCGTGTGCTGAGGCGGTTCCTGCACTCACAAGGCTGCCCCGCACTCCTGTTTAATATGCGCGCACGCTCGCTGCCCCTGCGGTGGCCCCGTTCTCGTGTCCGCTAGGCCAAGGACTACTCAGGCAGCTGCGGCAAGTGCAAGGAGGTTAGGTGCAAGCACTTCAACTTCAAGGACGGGTGAGCGGGTCGCGCCCATCAGAGACAGGCGCGTGGCCAGGATGCAGGGGAGGGCGCGCCGTGCCGTCCATGATGCCGCCCCGCCCAGGCGGTCAAGAGCCCTCACCAGCTTGTCCACCTCTGACCGCGACGTGCGCTCTGTCCCGCGCCACCCCACCGCCCAAACAGATACGGTGCTTGGCTTGACAGGTGGGGGGCAGGTTGCGCCCTGGGATTGTCGCCAGGCCCGCCGCCTGGCAGCGGTATGGTGCATGACGACCGCACTTGCGTACATGCCTGTGCCCAGCGAGCCCGTGCCGGCGAGCTCATGGCTCCGCATCGACTGAGCGTCCTGCGTGTGCGCCTGAATTCCCTGGGGTCCGCAGGAGCAGCACCTGCTACGACACCACCGCGTCTGTCGTGGTGATGGTTGTCGACACGTGCCCGGTGAGGGCGGGCAGCAGGCACCTTGCGTGATAGCTGCAGCGTCGGGCGGGGCGCTTGGCTGATTGCGCGACAACTATCAAGAGGCAGCTTGTCCAGGCGGCCGCGGCAGCAGCTTGAGCAGGGGTGGTTGCAATTGGCGCGGAATGGGTGCGCGGGATTCGGCAGTGTGATTGCGGGGCGAAGGCGGGGTGATGGCGGCGGCACCACACACACCACACACATACACTGCAGCCGCCTTCCGGCGTGGGGAGTGTGCAACGCCTAATTCACCCTGCACACCCGCCACCGCAGTGCTACTACCCCACCAACTACTTCTCCAACAAGCGCTGTGAGCGCCTGGGGCGCCAGGGCGGGGGGTTTGCATGCGCAGGTCCTGGCGGCCGAGCTCCATTTCAGACACAGTGGCCATGAGCCACTTGAGCGTGCGCTCGTTGGCAAAGGGCAGACGGACCCCATCCCACTCTCAACTGGTCGTGGCCCCCTCACTGCCTGTCAATCTCATCGTCTGGGCCCTCAAACCACCCCATCTCACCCCCTCCCCCCCCCGGCCTGCCGCCCACCCCTCCCCCCAGGGTGCTGTGGCGACATGTACCACATGGACATCAGCGTGTGGGCCTTTGAGAAGCTGGCGGACACCAAGTACGGCGTCATAGGCATGGAGTATCGGGACGTGGACTGCGGCTACAGGCCAGCCAACCCCGCCAAAAACCCCTGGGGTGGCCGCACCTCCATGCCCCCGAAGCTCAGGCCCCGCCCGGGTGAGGCGCGAAGGGGGAGGGGCGTGTGGCGGGGGGGTGGGGGCGCAAAGGAAGTGCTCGTAGGCGGGGGATCGCAGAAGCCTCTCTCCTGCTGCGCGCCTGTTGCACTCACGGGAGCTGCACTGCACCTGGTCCCCCCTTTTCTCCTGCCCAGGCTGGAACCGCTGGCAGGACAAGCGGCTGCCCTTCATGCGGGAGGTCAACCCGACCAGCCTCTTCACGCCTGTAGTCAGCGGCAGCAAGCCCGTTTTCAACGCACAGGGCGACACCGCCACCACAGCGGCTGCCGCCACTTCCGCAGCAACGGTCGCAGCGCCAGCCACGCCCCTGGCCCACGCGCCGGTTCAAGCGGCCGCGCCTGCGCCTGCGCCTGCGGCCGCTGCGGCGCCCCCTCCGTGCGTCGGATTCTTCTGCTTGTTCGGGCGCAGGCTGCTGCGCGCGTGAGGCGGCTCTGCACAGCCGCGTTTTGCGCCCCCTGAGATGACAGGGCAGTGCCATGAGGGCAGCTGCGCCAAAGTGACCAGGGGGGCGCCCTGCGCTCCAGGCACCCGCCCGTGGATCCCGCCGCCCAAGTTCGCAACATTTCGCACTTGTTTTTTTCGCGCACCCTGCCGCCGCGGAGGCCTGGCGGCGGTTTTGGTGCTGCAGGCAGCTGCTGCACACAGCGCGGCTGCCCCCCCTCCCGCTGAAAACATCCCAACACACCACAACGCAGATCCAAACAACCACTGCGCGCTGACTGTACGCACCGCGCACGCCGAGTTCTTCGGCGATCGGCGAGCACTGCACCGTATCCAGATTGCGCGCGTTCGCGCCCCACAATTTGCGATGCCACACCATCCGTGCGCCATCGCTCGCGCGTCTTTGTGGCCAATCCTGAGCGGCTGGTAGGATTGTTGCGGGGCAGCGCCAATTTGTGTTGTTATTTGCATAGCTCACCGGAGTCGCCCCGCACCCCCGAGAGGACACACGCCTCGGGGCGGCCGCAGCCATATGCGACGGCCGCCGTCGCCTGGTTTGGGTGCCCTGGCCATGTCCAGCATTGTCCATTCACGCACATACCAATCAGAGCCAGACAGGCCAGCCACCTGCCCGTTAGCCGCCGCCCTCGGCACCTTCGACGTTCGCCCTCAGCGCCCGCCTGCCGTGATCCAAACCCAGTGCCTGGCACGGCCGCCCGGAACGGGCAACCTCCCCGAGCGGCCCCCGGGCCTGGCCTGCCGGCTGGCAGCCCACCTCACTCTGGCACAACGGCACCAGCTGCAGGGCGCACCGCGACCCGCACTGTACCCCGTCACTCTCCACAAACACATTGCTTTCCCTTTTCTCTGCATGCCGCCGCCCGTTTCCGGCGCCTGCCGCGCCGATGCGGAGGCCCGCCCGCTTGCTCCCCTTGGAACATTGAATTGGGGCTGGCCCCTTTAGGTCAGGGCACGCTGCCAAGCCCGCGACGGTGACTGTGCTTATTGCCGTTCGTGGCGACTCGCGCCAGCACAGCTGGCAGGCTGGCAGTTTAGCAGGCAGGGGCACATGCTCTGTCTGCGGGCTCGCTGGCCCCAACCCCCTTAGGCAATCGCCGACCATAATGCGCCGCGGCGCGCGCCTCACCTGCAAGCATTGCCACACGACGAACTCAAGGACCGACCATCGCGACACTGTCAGCGCTGGAACATCCACCCACGTCTGCCGAGTAACCCCTGGTGGTGAAGTCCTGTGCTAGGGCTTGCAGCCCTGCGCGCTGCGCCCTTGGCTGTCGCCCAGCAGCCGGCTTCACCAGCATGACACAAACCCAGACGTGCATGTGTTTCTCGAGGCAGCACGAAACGTTGTGACAATACCAGCTCAGTGTCTGAATGCTTATGGGGCTGAGCGCCCTGTGCTTGGTGGTGGCATTGACCAGGTTGACCTGGGCCTCCGTGGTTTCCCTCTATGTGCCCCTCTGCCTCCGCGGCGTTTTACTATCACCAATACGACTAGCAAATTACAGCCGAGGCCGTGGCCCGATGGGCTGGGCTCTGGCATGCACTGATCGGGGAAGTCTCGCAAAGATCTGTGACCTGGAACAGGTACGCGTGTCTTATACATTATCGAACAAGTCAAAGATACGTCTTGCATAAGTCACATCTGGCTATCCTCATCCTTCACAGCAAAGAACCAACTCGCTGGAATGAGGGTCGCCCGGGCCCAGCACGGCGCCAACGCCACTCGTGGTCGCAATGTGGCTGCTCCTCTACGCTCAGGTTGGCTTGCGGGCGAGGAGCGCGGGCATAGCGTGGGCTCGGGATTCCCACCGTCGCAGGGCCGCTCCTATGACCTGATCGGGACTTGCAGCGGAGAATCATCGATTGTCCTGAGGCTGTCATAACAGCGCCGGGGAGGCTGCCCCCCACGCCCGGGGTCCGGCGCGCCGCTGCTGTCACTGCCGCCGTCCCGAATCAGCAGTGTACCCTGGTCTTTAGGCGCCCTCGCGCGCCGGAGGCCATTCTCGCGCGCCGCGGCGACGTTTACACACGGCCTGGATTATGGCTGTTGCCAATGGCAGTGTCGCCCCAGCGGTGCGGCAGCGCGTGGTGTCCCGTGGGTGCGCGGTAGTCAACGTCTCATACCGCTCGGGCGCGCGCTGCGTCCTCCGCGCGCCTCGCAGCGCGCCGCGCCGTGCGCCCCGTGCGCGTGGCCGCCGCCGCCGCTGTGGAAGGCAAATACGATTACATAATTGTGGGCGGCGGCACGGCCGGCTGCGTGCTGGCGAACCGCCTGACTGCGGACGGCACAAAGCGCGTGTTGATGCTTGAGGTGAGCATGCGTCGGGCTGAGGGCACCATTGCAGAGCACAATAGAGGGCGAGGAGGCGGGCAGGGCGAGACTGGGCTGGCCAAAGACAGCAAAACAGTACCGTGGATGGCAGCGGGTCGGGGAGGGGCTGGGTGCAAGGGCGTGCGAGCGTCAGGGGCGGCTGGCGGTGAGGCGGCTTGGGGCGGCGCGAACGGCCCGCGGCTGTGGGGACGCAAGCAGGCCTGCAGTGGCGCAGCAGCGGACGGGGCGGCGGGAGGCGGAGCGGCGCAGCAGTGCTGCCCTGGCAGTGCCCGGCCAGCGCTGGCAGCAGCTACGCGTCGCCAGTGGCGGGCGGCAGGAGCTATGCGGCGCCTGGTGGCGCGCGGTGCGGGGAGCAGCGCTCAATCAAAGACGACGACGGTCGCTTGACCGCTCGCCCGGTCCCCGCGGCTTGACCCGCGCGCACCGCCCGCAGGCCGGCGGCAACGGCGGGGCGCTCGAGACGCGCGCGCCCGCGGGGCTGGCGCGGCTGTTCCGCCACCCCGTGCTGGACTGGAACCTCTTCTCAGCCCTGCAGCCCCGCCTGGATCACCGCGAGGTGAGGCGCGCGATCCGGCGATCTAGCGATCTCAGATCTGCAAGTGATGCACGGCTGGGGGGGGGGGAGTGGCTCAAACAGGGGTGTTGTGAGGCCTTGCGCTTGATGCCGCTTTCCCAAGCAGCCGTTGCTGCCTGACTGGCGATGGTGTGGCGTCGCAACACAGCTCCCACAGGCGCTGGCTTCGTATTGACAGGCAGGAGCCGTGCACCCGGAATGAGATGCAACCCTCCTCGCTCTGTGGCGCTCAACCCGCGCTGCCCTGCTGCCGCGCCTCAACGCCCCCCCCCCCAAGGTGTACCTGGCGCGCGGCAGGCTGCTGGGTGGCAGCAGCGCGACCAACGCCACGCTGTACATGCGCGGCAGCGCGGGCGACTACGACGCCTGGGGGCTGGACGGCTGGAGGGCGTCGGACGTGCTGCCGTGGTTCGTGGAGGCTGAGAACAACTCCAGGGGTGAGAGGGGGGGGGGGGTGGGGAGGGAGGAGTGGGTAGGTG